GCTTTCTTTTGGTGGTATTTAATTATCACTGAATTTTTTAATTTTTGCTAAATAAAACAAAAAACACCTGAAACTTTTGAAAAAAAAAAAACACTTTTCTTCATTTCTGTTATAAAATTTTGCAAATAAATAAAATTTTGTTCATAAATTTAGATCAAAATGTATTCTGCTACATTTCTTTGCTGAAAATAATAATAATTGAAGTTGTATTTTTTTCAAATGTTTCTATTGTTTTATTTATTTTTTATTAACCACTTGCCGTCCGCCTGCTGTTTATAAACGGCAGGGCGGCGGCACTCCAGGGGCGGGTTGCCGTTCATAAACGGCACCTGCCTTTTCTAGCTGTGCGCGCTCCCTGGGAGCGCGCAGCACCGTGATCCGGTGCGGAGGACACAGCGAAACATCGATCGTCGAGCGGGACCTCTGTACTAGGTCCCGATCATGTGATCACTGATTGGCCAATCAGTAATCACATGCAAAGTAGTAAGCAAGATGTCACTTGTGACATCATTGCTTACTGCGTGTGAAATCTGAGGTCACATGGTACAAGACTATTCACAACAGCCTTGTACTGTGTGACAAGGTGTGACCAATCACAGCTCACTCAGTATTTCTCAATGGCTGCAAGAATGCAGACAGAGAGAAAGAGAAATGCTTGCTTTTACATTCTATATGGGTGTAAAAGCAATCACTGTAAAAAAAAAAAAATCTTCATCACCTCAACATGGTGACACTGTACTGCTAGGGTGACAGTATGTAAAAAAAAAAAAAAAAACATAAATAATAATAATAAAAAAAAAAAAAAAAATGTTTAAAAATGATACTTTTTGGTAATAAACTAACTTGTTTTTTTTTTTTGTTTTTTACTAAAAATGTAACGGAATACATTTTGGTCAAGATTTATGATGAAAGATTATTTATTTGCAAAATTTTATAAGAAAAACACTTTTTTTCAAAATGTTTGGACTTTCATTTACATAGCAAAAATTAAAAATCCCAGCGGTGAATAAATACCACCAAAATAAAGCTTTATCTGTCTCAAAAAATGGTAAAAAATTCATATGGGTACAGTATTGCATGACCGCACAATTGTCATTCAAAGTGTGATAGCGCTGAAAGCTGAAAATTGCCCTGGACAGGAAGGGGGTAAAAGTGTCCGGACAGGAAGTGGTTAAATTTTTTCATATTTTTACTATTTTATTTTTTCAGCACACTGTGACCAAAGCAATGCAATGTTACCATAGTAACATTGAACTACTCTGGACAAGTGATCAGGATTTTTTTTTTCTTTTTTAACACATTATGATTGCTAATACCAATGTATTTCATTGATATTTGCAATCATTGTTACTGATTGAAACTGATTCATTCAGTCTTTTGTTGTGATTAGCTGTGATTGGGCAACACTGATCACATGATACAGATGGGCTGTGAGTGAGTGGCCCTGTCTGTATCATGTGACTGCCTTGACCAGTCACAGCTAACAACACAATTGTATACAATGGATGGCATGACAGGAAGCCATCCATTGTATATAATTGACATGTGATCTGCTGTGATTGGTCACAGCGGTCACATGACACTCCGCAATGGGTCGGTGTAGTGATAAATCATCGGCTGTGTCCCATGGACACATCCGGTGACAGATCACGCCACTACGCGGCCCCCCGTGAGTGGCTCGTTTTGACAGGACATCATATGATGCCCAGTCACAACGGTGAGTGTCCCAGCCGGGCGGGAAGGTGTTAAAGAAGTCGAACTTCAGCATTGTGTGCCTATCTTTTCAGCTGCCACCCCTCAGTTGTTTTTTTTTCTAATCGAATACATTCTTTTTTCCTGCAATCTTCTAGCTGATCTGGTACTGTCACCGGAGCTTTCTCTTCATCCCTTTTTGAGGAGGATGGGACCATCTTGGGACATTGGACCTCAAGATGGGATGAATCTATCACTATGTAAAAAATGCTATGCCTAGAATTCTTCTTTAAGTAATACTTGTTAACCAATAAATAGTTAGCCCTCATTCACACTTGAACATTTTTGCTTGTTTCCCTATGCAGACGCCTATTCTTTCAAGTTGTCCTTGTTCACATTTGTATGCTCAGTCACTCTACACTTTACAAGCAGGACCACATTGTTAGGTGCACAGTTAACCCTTTGATTGAGATGTTAACCTTTTCCTCCCTCCCAGTGTCCTTAGTACAGTATATATATATATACAGTCAGGTCCATAAATATTGGGACATCGACACAATTCTAACATTTTTGGCTCTATACACCACCACAATGGATTTGAAATGAAAGGAACAAGATGTGCTTTAACTGCAGACTGTCAGCTTTAATTTGAGGGTATTTACATCCAAATCAGGTGAACGGTGTAGGAATTACAACTGTTTGCATATGTGCCTCCCACTTGTTAAGGGACCAAAAGTAATGGGACAATTGGCTTCTCAGCTAGTCCATGGCCAGGTGTGTGTTATTCCCTCATTATCCCAATTACAATGAGCAGATAAAAGGTCTAGAGTTCATTTCAAGTGTGCTATTTGCATTTGGAATCTGTTGCTGTCAACTCTCAAGATGAGATCCAAAGAGCTGTCACTATCAGTGAAGCAAGCCATCATTAGGCTGAAAAAACAAAAAACAAACCCATCAGAGAGAGAGCAAAAACATTATGCGTGGCCAAAACAACTGTTGGAACATTCTTAAAAAGAAGAAGACGCATCGGTGAGCTCAGCAACACCAAAAGACCTGGAAGACCACGGAAAACAACTGTGGTGGATGACCGAAGAATTCTTTCCCTGGTGAAGAAAACACCCTTCACAACAGTTGGCCAGATCAAGAACACTCTCCAGGAGGTAGGTGTATGTGTGTCAAAGTCACCAATCAAGAGAAGACTTCACCAGGTGAATACAGAGGGTTCACCACAAGATATAAACCATTGGTGAGCCTCAAAAACAGGAAGGCCAGATTAGAGTTTGCCAAACAACATCTAAAAAAGCCTTCACAGTTCTGGAACAACATCCTATGGATAGATGAGACCAAGATCAACTTGTACCAGAGTGATGGGAAGAGAAGAGTATGGAGAAGGAAAGGAACTGCTCATGATCCTAAGCATCACAGTGACATGGCATGGGGGCATGTATGGCTGCCAATGGAACTGGTTCTCTTGTATTTATTGATGATGTGACTGCTGACAAAAGCAGCAGGATGAATTCTGAAGTGTTTCGGGCAATATTATCTGCTCATATTCAGAGAAATGCTTCAGAACTCATTAGACGCTGCTTCACAGTGCAGATGGACAATGACCCAAACCATACTGCAAAAGCAACCAAAGAGTTTTATAAGGGAAAGAAGTGGAATGTTATGCAATGGCCAAGTCAATCACCTGACCTGAATCCGATTGAGCATACATTTCACTCGCTGAAGACAAAACTGAAGGGAAAATGCCCCAAGAACAAGCAGGAACTGAAGACAGTTGCAGTAGAAGCCTGGCAGAGCATTACCAGGGATGAAACCCAACATCTAGTGATGTCTATGCGTTGCAGACTTCAGGCTGTAATTGACTGCAAAGGATTTGCAACCGAGTATTAAAAAGTGAAAGTTTGATTTATGATTATTATTCTGTCCCATTACTTTTGGTCCCTTAACAAGTGGGAGGCACGTATGCAAACTGTTGTAATTCCTACACCGTTCACCTGATTTGGATGTAAATACCCTCAAATTAAAGCTGACAGTCTGCAGTTAAAGCACATCTTGTTTGTTTCATTTCAAATCCATTGTGGTGGTGTATAGAGCCAAAAATGTTAGAATTGTGTCGATGTCCCAATATTTATGGACCTGACTGTATATATATATATATATATATATATACACACACACGGTAGTATCAAAAGGTTTTGAGACTAGATTTGTAACAGCTGGCAAGATTGCAGCACAAGGTTACACAGCAGAGTCATGGAGAGCACCGACCTTTATAAGTCAGTGTGCCAAAAGACATTGTCCTGTGTACATCGGGAGCTGTTCAGTTGGTACTATACTGACCACCTGCATTACCACGTCTGCTATTTCATCATGGACTGCAAATTAGAACAAAGAGCAAACATAAAATTCTGCATGAAACCCATACACCCAAGTTTCAGCATCAGCAGTGATCCTCAACATGAAGGACAGTTCACTCACGACACGCTGATGGAGTTCTTGGCAGTCTTTGACGCGGTGTTCCTTCTGCTCTTGAGTCAGCAGCCTGAGGATGAATTTGGCAGCAACACGGCACATGTTCAAATCACACGTGAGGATCTCCTGAACTGTTCCGTATGACACCCCGACAATGGCAGCAATGTTGTGGATTGTTCTTTGCCGATCATTATGCAAAAGTTGCCGAATGGTTTTGACATTTTTGGGGGTTGAGCTCGTTGAAGGTCTTTCTAATCTCCCGTTGTCTTCCAGTGATGTTCTTCTGCTCTTGAAGCCCGTGTGCCACTCAAAACACCTCAAACTCATTGTAGCACCGCCGTAAACTTGACAAATCATGTCAAAAGTCTATGTGGCAGATGTGCCCAGTTTCACGCAGGATTTCACGTTTGCTCTTTGTTCTAACTTGTTGTCTATGATGAAATAGCAGATGTTGTAACGCATGTGGTCAGAATAGCACAGGTTGCACAGCTCCCGATGTACACACTTACTTATGAAGGTTGGTGCTCCCTGTGACTGTGCATGCAGCCTTGTGCTGCCATTTGTTGGTGTGTTACAAAACTGGTCTTGAAACTTTTTGATATATATATATATATATATATATATATATATACACACACACACACATACACACACTATATTGTCAAAAGTATTGGGACACCTGCCTTTACATGCACATAAACTTTTATGGCATCCCAGTCTTAGTCCGTACGGTTCAATACTAAGGCAAGCACTGTTCTCCTGGCAACCGCCAAACCCAGACACGTCCAGACAGAGAAGCGTGATTGGTCACTCCAGAGAACACGTCCCCACTGCTCTAGAGTCCAGTGGTGGTGTGCTTTACACCACTGCATCCGACGCTTTGCATTGCACTTGGTGATGTAAGGCTTGGATGCAGCTGCTCGGCCATGGAAACCCATTTTATGAAGCTCTTCACGCACTGTTGTTATTGTGCTAACCTGAAGGCCACATGAAGTTTGGAGGTCTTTAGCTATTGACTCTGCAGACAGTTGGCGACTTCTGCGCACTGTGCGCTTCAGCATGTGCTGACCCCACTCTGTCATTTTACGAGGCCTACCACTTTGTGGATGAATTGCTGTTGTTTCCACTTTGTTATAATACCACTAACAGTTGACTGTGGAATATTTGGTATCAAGGAAATTTCAGGGATGGACTTCTTGCACAGGCGGCCACCTATTATGGTACCACGCTTGAATTCACTGAGCTCCTGAGAGCGACCCATTCTTTCACAAATGTTTGTAGAAGCATTCTGCATGCGTAGATGCTTACAATATGTATAGTATTATCACAGATCACTGTATTAGTGCCATTGGTGATGTCAGTGTCAGTCCGTGTACCCCCCCCAACATCAGTTATTGTCAGATTGCCCTCCGTACAGTCCCACTATAAGTTACTGATCATTGCCATTAAAAGTATAATAAATAAATAAATAAATAAAAATCAAGTATATATTCCATAGTTTGTAGATGCTATAACTTTCACACAAACTAATTAATATACACTTATGGGGATTTTTTTTACCAAAGACTTAGCAGAATACATTTTGGCCTAAATCTATGAAGATGTTATTTTTTTTATTTATTGGATGTGTTTTGTAGTAGATAGTAAAAAATATATTTTTTTTACAAACTTTTTAGTCTTTTTTAGTTTATATAATAAAAAATAAAAACCCAGTTTTGATCAAATACCACCAAAGGAAGCTCTACTTCTGTGAAAAAATTATATAAATTTCATTTGGGTACAGCATTGCATGACCATGCAATTACCAGTTAAAGTAGCACAGTGTTAAATAGCAAAATATTACCTGTTCATGAAGGGGGTAAAACCTTCCAGAGTTAAAGTTGTTAGGAACACACTGCAATGCATTTAGGCTAGGTTCACACTGCTGCGATGCAATTTTGATCCGACTTTCAGTGTAATTATGTAGTGTTACATAGATGCAACTTTGAAGTGGTGTGCACATTCTGTAGGGACAAAAACGCACTGGAATCACACCGAACTAGTACAAGAACCTTTTCCAAAATCGCTCCATGCTATTGATGTGAACAGACATTGAATACAATGTGACTTCCCTTGTCATTTGATTCTTAGCGTCTCAAGTTGTAGTGTATCAGCGAGGCACATGGAAAACCATTATTTTCTATGTACCCTTCCAATGACCTGTGTTGATCCAGTACAGAAAAATGCAGGTCACTGTGAATAGGCTCTATAGGTAACTTGTACATTTTTTCATTACATGCTCTATTTGAGTTGCCTGGGTTTGTTACAGGTTTAAAAGTTGATGACACAAAATCTGGCTGAAAACAGTTGCTTCAGATTCTTTTATCAGATATGATCATATCCTCAGAAAATAATTTTTACTCCTGACATGACTATTCACATACACTTTTGGAGGGGAAACCCACTAAAGTATTGTGGTGTCAGTTTATCTCTGCCAGATCTGTTCTCACTTTCAGTTTTCATACCAATACTACATTTTTTGTACATAATGTATATAGTAATATCTTGTGGTTATGTTATATTGTTGTTCTATGGAATTAATACTGTCCTTTGGCATTCCCATTGGACAACAATATAAAATAGGCACAGAATACTATCATGTATATTTTGTACTGTGTCTGCTAGAGGTAGCTGATGCTTTCCTAGCGAGACCTTCCTCTACACTTCGTTTCTGTTGACAAGTTAATGATTAATACCAGCAATCACCAATTGCTCTCATTGATTTGTACTCAACAAAAAAATGTAAATATTATCTATATTTTAGTGTTCATTAAAATAGGATAATTGTGTTTCATACCCCATTCAATGTCATACTGTACTCTTCTTATATTTAAAACGGCATAAGTTGTAGTACACTATCATTGATTTTATATATTACATGCTGGTCTCTCATAAAGTGCTTTTTTTCTAAAATTAGAGCTGTGCTGACTCTATCTAAATGGATTACATATTAAAATAAATTAAACATTTTAAACCAAATTTAAATTTAGCAAACATTGTGGAAAATACAGTATGCTTATAAAAATTATGTACATGGCCATACTAAAGCAGCTGGTGAGTTGAATGGAAAAAGATAACTTGGTCCCCCCCTATCCACATATTCAAGATGGATGAGGGAATCCTCCCCACTCTGCTATTGTATTCTGAAAGCGGGGAGAATTCCCCACTATCAGAATACACTGATCTCTATTAGATTGTAATCTCTTTATTGTATTGTAACTGTACTGTCTTGATTTACCTTGTAAAGCGCTGCTCAAACTCTTGGCGCTGTATAAAACCTGTTTAAGAATAATAATTATATATATATAATTTTTGTTTTGCAGAGGCCCTAGAGAATAAAATGGTGGTCGTTGCAATTTTTTATGTCATGCAGTATTTGCGCAGCGTTTTTTCAAAAGCAACTTTCTTGGAAAAAATACATTTTAATGAATTGCTAATGCAAAAAAACACAATAAATAACCCAATTTTTTGGTAAAATATAGAAGATGATATTAAGCCGAGTAAATAGTTACCTAACATATCACACTTTAATATTGGTCACACTCACGGAATAGCGACAAACTATGATACTTAAATATCTCTATAGGCTATGCTTTAAAAATGTTTACAGGTTACCAGTTTAGGTCTAGCACTACAATTATTGCTCTCACTATAACGTTTGTGGTGATACCTTACATGTGTGGTGCGAACACCATTTGCATATGTGTGCACGATGTATGCGTTTGCCTCCGCACACAAGCATGGGGGGCATGGTGGTGCTTTAAAAAAAATGTTTCAATATTTATTTTTACCGTCCCTTTAATTTTTTTTAATCACTATTATTCCTATTACAAGAATAGTAAACATCCCTTGTGATAGAAATAAAAGCATGACAGGTCCTCTTTATGGAGATACCTGGAGTCTCTAAGACACCAGACCTCTCCTCTACCCTGGAAAGCATGAGATACTGGAATTACCATATTATGATCACCCAGCAGAACCGCTAGATTGTATATCAGGCTCCCCAATCACTTGGATGAGTTCAGAGAGGGGCTGGTGGGCAGCGGGGGGGTGCCTCCTGCCTGTAAATGCAATCCAGTGGCTAATTAGGCACTAGGATTGCTTTTAGATGAAACAGCAAAACAATACCGGGGTTATAACAGACAGCTGCAGACATAACCCTGGTATAACCACTTGAATCCTATCGTGTACATGTACCTGATTTGGCAGCAATGTCTGTAAAATGTAGTGGGGAGGCTGGAAGTAGAGACATACAGGGCAGTTCACCAAGTCCCTACCAACATTTTTCTTGCACTGTATCCCTTTAAAATGGCTTTCGCCAGATCAAAAAATTCCTTCTGCCCGTTTTGGTAACTATACATGTGCAGCAGATTCAATGTCGTGTTATTAAAGTGGAACTTAAAACTGAGCTCCAGTCAAAATATAAAATAAAAAATAAGAAAAAAAAAAAAGTCATCAGCTACAAAAACTGTAGCTGCTGACTTTTAAAAATCAGACACTCACCTGTCCCTTTGTCCAGCGGTGTCCTCACTACGGCTGGTTTCACCGGCTGTCCTCTCTCCCCGGCACCGGCATCCTAAGTGTGGGCACCCGGCTGTTACAGCTTGCGGCTTTACAGCCGGATGCCCACTGTGCATGTGTGAGTTGCGCTGCAACTTGTGAATGTTCCCATAGTCTTCTGAGACCTGTCATGTGTCCCAGAAAACTACGGAAGGCGATCGCAGCTGAAGTGGGAGCGGGTACCTGTCAAAATAGGGTACCGGTTCTCCAAAGGTGTCAATCCTTAACGGAGAGTGGGGGACAAGGCCTTAAAGCAAAACTTCCCATTTTGGGTGGAGCGCTGCTTTAAGTTTTGATGTCACAAACTGCGAGCTGGCAGGCATTTTATTGCAGAGCAAACATGCAATGGGATTGATTTACTAAACCTGGAGTGTGCAAAATCTGGTGTAGCTGTGAATGGTAGCCAATCAGCTTCTAACTTCAGCTTGTTCAATTAAATTTTGACGTAAAAAAAAAAAAAAACTGAACGCTGATTGATTTCTATGCAGAGCTGCATCAGGTTTTGCACTCTCCAGTCAACCCCAATGTCTCCTCTGCAATAAAATACACCTACCTGCCTTCTCACTGCATTCCCTGGCATGTACATTGAGTTGCACATGCACAGCTCAGCTTACACCGCCAGCCCGGTCTCTGTGTGTCAGGATAACTGACTCCTGCGCATATGCAGGATAGACGTCATCCTGCACTGGCCAATGAAGATGGCCGAAGAGCATAAGATGCCAGCGCAGACGAAGGACAGCACTGTTGGAGCGAAGGTAATATTAGTTCCACTTTAATGCACCAAATTAAAAAATAATTACTTCCAGTTCCTAGATAAGGAAACTGGAGGTAATTAAGACCTACTCCAAATTGATGTACAGAGACAGGTAGAGTGCCTGTCTTTGCACACAGTGTAGCAGAGCAGCAGATTTGCTGCTGCTATCCCCTCCCTGTCACTGGTTGTTAAGGATGCTGTCGCCTTCACAGCTGAAAGCCTCCTAGCAACCAGTGACACTACAGTGGGCAGAGCTTCTTAGGGAAGCCAACACACTAGTTCCCCTTCGTGTCTGCTCTATCCTTTTAATTGACAGCAGGCAGTGGGCAGATTCTATAGCTAAAAGTAGGCTGTCTATTGGCTAAGGATCTGCCCACTGACTGCTGTCAATCAAAAGGGTAGTAGACCTGATGAGGAACTAGTGTCCCATGAGTCCTCACCAGGCTCTGCTCATCTAGATACAAATTTCCCCAGCTGCAGGGATGAAGTGCAGTTGCAGTGATGCCAGTGTCCATTGCAGAAAAAAAGTAGTTCAATGTGTTCTCTACAAGCTGTGAAATTTGTACAATATGAACATTACCTAGTCTGTATACTTCCAAATGTGTCTGTGTTCACAGTATTTCCATTTGCCATCCTTAGCAGCCATGCCATAGGTAGTGGCACGACATATGTATGTGACACAATAGTAGCAGGTTAGAAGAAAACCCCTCTCTGATATACAGTT